TTTTTAATGTCTAAGAGAAAAAAATTGTTTCTGTGTTCTCTGATTACATATTTGCTTTTAAAAAACATTCTAACCCCCACCCAAGCCTGGTTCCAATTTATGACTGCTCTGACCATTCAGGAGTTTGATAACATGATTGTTTGGGGTATTGAGTATTTTAGGAAAACAGCTTTTCAGAACTGATTTCACCAGGTTTATGATATTTTATACTCATTCATAACCAGAAAAGAAGATTTCCATTGAGCTTTACAGTGATTCCATCATGTATATGGTGCTATTGAGTGGATCGTGTCTGTGGTGTCTGTAGGGAGGGCGCTTTGTAACCTTTGACCCTATGTTTTGAGAAACAGGCAATGCATCCCTCTAAGGTGTGGCACGTGGGAGGATGGGCCATGATATCTCCCGTGCTCAGTTTGAAAAAGTTGGCTGCCTTGTAAACTTCTAGCTGGATTTTAGGAGATCCAGTAGGAGACTTTTAATTCATTAATTGCTGAAAGAAAACGTAAGTTTGAAAAATAAAAAGTATAAAATACTTTATACTCAAAGGAATAGACAAGTTAGTGGCTGTATAAATTGGGGGTGGGGCAGTCAAGACTCAGCAAAACATATGGGATTCCTCTCATCAAGGGGCCCCGTGTGACTAAGCAGAGACCGCCTGTCACACACCTGTGAAGCCTACCTCCATCAAAACTTCAGACAGTAGGGAAGCAGAGAAGGACTAATCTATTGCTGGCAAATTCCCTCTCCATCTAGCCTGCTCTTACCTTGTACTACTCAGGTGTGAGCCTCTCTCTAGGGGGTGCTGTTGTGTCGGAGATCCTGACATCAGTCCCGGTGAACATGAAGGGGCATGGAAGAAGGGTGCTCCACCAGGGATGAGAGGGGATGGAGAGAAGTGCTTTTCAGAAGTGATGAAAGAGTAGGAGAGGGCACGGGGGCAGTGCCTTCCATTGGAGGGGGGCAGAGGCATGAACTCGGGAACCTCCAACTTCGCAGTAGTGTAATACAGTTACTTAGCCCTGCTGAATCTCACATCTCACCATGGTAAAATAGTGGTAGCCACCTTGTAAGGTTACTGTGTGGATGAGAGCTCAAAGGGGAAAACATGGAACCCCGTGGCTGGTACCTAGTGTCATATTTTTTCTTAAGTAGAAAATGAGGATGGGTGGACAAGACTCCAGTGTCAGAGGTGGGGTGGCAGGTGGAGAAGCTCCAAGACGTGCAGAATCTTGGAAGAACTGGCTGCCTCTCCGTGATCCTCCTCAGCCGCCGGCTGCTTTGGGACTGCTGCCAGTGCAGAAATGCATCTTTTCCCCAGACAGGGCAAGGAGCAGTCTGTGGGAAGTCAGTTCATAGTCGAGTTCAGTCCCAGCACTGAAAATGGGCCAACTTTCACCCACATGGTGGGGAAGAGAGCAGCTGTGGGCAGTCAGCAGAGGCGCGCTGTGGGGTCGCTGGGTTGCTGTGTGCTTACAGATGTACAGTGTTTGTTCTGAGATTTTGTAATTTGTCGAGATCATCCAGTTACATCTCCATGGCATGTGGAAAGTGCAGCCAAAGCCATCTTAGGCAGTTTCCTCACTTTGTTTTGATTTATTATTTGTTGTTTACAGTACTATCTCCAGTAACAACAATGGAATTTCCTTCCCCACTAATCTGGTCTATTTCCATTTTGCCTGTTTATTTTTAATTTCCTTTTTCTTGGCTTGCAACCTCCCCATGACTCTGTCTTGTTTATTTCCTTGAATGTGTCGGTGTCATTTATCAGTGTGTCCTCTCAGAAGGACTTTGTCCACTCTGAATTGTGTGGGTTGTATTCTCCTGATTCCGATTGTGAGCTTGGGATGTGCTCCATGTTTCTACACACCATATGATGGCCTGGGATGTCATTCTACCCATGGCTGCTCTTGCAAGCGGACAGCCTTGCTGTCCATGGCTCCCAGATGGAGCCTGTGAGGTCCTAAGGCAGAGAAAGAACTTCTCTGCAGAGAGACTTGTCTCTGCTTCTCTGATGTCACCCTGGCCCTCCCTCTGTCTTCATTTTCCATCTACTCTTATTTGGGAGCAGGGTACATGAGCATAAGGCTCAGCTCCCTGAAGCTAGAGTTGTAAAAGCCAGTGTTGTTAATTAATGGTCAATTCCATCTTGCAATATTAGCCACTTGGAATATATGCTGAATCTACATTTGCTCTCATATTATGAAGAACTTAGTCCACCAAGCCAATGAGGCTTAAGGAGGAGATAACTTGACTTTATTACTTGTTATGTGAATTAGCAAATTGCTGCTTCTTTTTTATTTCTGGGTTGTCATGAGTTACTAAATTATTGGATTGGCATTCATTTAATATTTACTTACACCTGCTTTGGATAGGACACATCTCTAGTCTCAAGATACTTAAGAGAGTTGAAGGTAGAAATGGAGTTGAAAGCAAGTAAATATGATAAAGTCGTATGACTGTTCTCAGTACACAGAGCGGGTCCCCTTTAAATCTCTTGGGGTATGGACTAGAGTGAAAAGATCACAAACAAGAACTAAAATAGCTGGGTGTTTTTGGGATCCATATATATTTCTTCTTCCTTCTCCTTCTTCTTGTTTTTTTTGGGGGGCCTAGGGAGACAGCGTTTCTCTGTGTAACAGCTCTGGTTGTCCTTGAACTTGCTTTGTAGACCAGGCTGGCCTTGCCCCCACCTCCACCCCTACCTCTGAGTGCTGTGATTAAAGGCATTCACCACCACTGCCTAGTCCCATTTGTGTTTTCAGATGGCTGAAGTAGTATATGACCTAGGCAGCGCATGCTCAGGAGGTGAAAGGAGTCAGGCACCAAAGGCCTTCACTGCTGTGTGAAGGGATTTGGATTTTATTCTCATAGAAAAATTTAAATAAGCAGAATATCATGAACAGATAAGATTTTTTGTAAAAATTACCCTAAGAAGAGTATTTGAGTGAATGAAAGCAAAAAGATTCCTTAGGACAGCCTGACTTGGAAGCAGGTTGTGATGAGAATTTGACAAGAGCTGAAGGAGACCTTCTAGAGTCAGGATCCACTGTAAAACCTTGTTTGACTCCAGCAGTGAACCTAAAGCCTAAGAAGACAAGGTAGCCGGTAAACACAGATGGGCACCTCCCCCCCTCCTGCTTCCACTGTGGGGCATCCCCCCCTCCCCGCTTCCACTGTGGGGCATCTCCCCCCCCGCTTCCACTGTGGGGCATCTCCCCCCCTGCTTCCACTGTGGGGCATCTCCCCCTCCCCGCTTCCACTGTGGGGCATCTCCCCCCCATCCTCCTGCTTCGACTGTGGGGCATCTCCCCCCCATCCTCCTGCTTCCACTGTGGGGCATCTCCCCCCCCCATGCTTCCACTGTGGGGCACCTCCCCCCTGCTTCCACTGTGGGGCATCTCCCCCATCCTCCTGCTTCCACTGTGGGGCATCTCCCCCCCCATGCTTCCACTGTGGGGCATCTCCCCCCATGCTTCCACTGTGGGGCATCTCCCCCCATGCTTCTACTGTGGGGCATCTCCCCCCATGCTTCCACTGTGGGGCATCTCCCCCCCATGCTTCCACTGTGGGGCATCTCCCCCCTGCTTCCACTGTGGGGCATCTCCCCCCCCATGCTTCCACTGTGGGGCATCTCCCCCATCCTCCTGCTTCCACTGTGGGGCATCTCCCCCCATGCTTCCACTGTGGGGCATCTCCCCCCATGCTTCCACTGTGGGGCATCTCCCCCCATGCTTCCACTGTGGGGCATCTCCCCCATGCCTCCACTGTGGGGCATCTCCCCATCCTCATGCCTCCACTGTGGGGCATCTCCCCCATCCTCCTGCTTCCACTGTGGGGCATCTCCCCCCCCATGCTTCCACTGTGGGGCATCTCCCCCTCATGCTTCCACTGTGGGGCATCTCCCCCATCCTCCTGCTTCCACTGTGGGGCATCTCCCCCCCATGCTTCCACTGTGGGGCATCTCCCCCCCCATGCTTCCACTGTGGGGCATCTCCCCCCATCCTCCTGCTTCCACTGTGGGGCATCTCCCCCCCCGTCCTCCTGCCTCCACTGTGGGGCATCTCCCCCCGTCCTCCTGCCTCCACTGTGGGGCATCTCCCCCTCCTGCTTCCACTGTAGGTATTACTATTTTACTTATTGGTGTGTGGGCTCTAATCCAGACCTAGTGCCCACTGGGTGTGTGCTCAGCCACCCCCAGCCCTCCATCACAGTTTGGAAACATGTTTCTGGTGGCCTTTCACATGTTATATTGTATTATCCACACTAGTAAAGCTTGTTTATGAGTTTTCTGCCCTGGAGCATAAGACCTTAGAGATTTGAGGACAAAACTTCTGAATTTTGTGTGTGCCTAGCACAGAGCTTTGTACACACAGCTGCCCAGGGTGTGTTTGAGGAGTACAACTCCCAATGCTTTAGTCAATGTTTTTTCCAAACTGTCAGTGAAATACAGAATATGAGAAGAGCACTGTCACTAGCCTTTCCCCCACTCATTTCCACTTTTCCTCCCCAGGATCCAGAGCAAAATAGCAAGAGATATAATAAGCAGATTTAAAAAAATTGTATCGCAGGAGATACAAAGATGGCTCAGCTGTTGAGAGCCCATACTGTTCTTGCAGAGGACCCAAGTTTAGTTCTCGGCACTGACTCTGGAATCTCACAACCACCTGTAACTCCAGCTCCAGGGTGTCTCCTGGCCTCTACTGGCCTCTAAGGGCACCTGCACCCATGTGCACAGATCCCTTCATCAAAAGGAACTCTTTCAAAAATAAAGTTTGTATCACTGTCCATTATCAAAATGTATCCCTATTCTTCCAGAAGCCTGTACTAAAATACCAGTAATAAATATTGACTATGAAAAGTGACCATAAGAGTATGTCTGTAATAATATTGTCTTCAGCGGCTTCACTGTTCAAAAATCAAGCAGCACAATAATTTGCTTTCATGTATTTTCAAATATTATTTTTTATTTTAATCTGGATTGTATTTCATTCTTCCACCAGATCCGTAATGCCTCCTGCTTGCTTCTTTCAAGATGGATGGGAAATCTGTGGGAGAGTCTACTCAAGTGGTGTCTAAAGTCAAACTTTCCACAAAAGTAGAAAACCCAGGACACTGGCTGGTGGAGGATCACGCTCAAATATGGGAAGTTTTAAAGACAGAGGAGGTAAGACAATGCTAAATGCTAGAACTGGTGCATACCTGAGACTAGAAAATTCCTGGGGTAGCTGACACCCCAGGCCAGCTTGAAAGTCTGTTCAGGGACCAAAGGCACAGCTAAGGAGGCAGAGCAGCAAGCCGGAGATATGTCCCTTGGGCATTATTGATGACACAGGCAAAGATGGTAATAGTGCTAACAACCAAAGCATAAAATCATAACTTGAGCTCATATGTGGGTAACCTGCCCTGTGGTCTCAGATACCTAGGTATAGTTGAAGGCATTTTTCTTCCTGTCTTCTCTCCCAGCATTGCTCTTCTGTGATTTTTTTTTCTTCCTTAAGCCTTTTATTGAAGTCTCAACAAATGCTAGTATTTTGTGTATGTGTGTGTGTGGGTGCTGTTTGTGTGTGTTTGTGTATGTGTGTGTGCATGTGTGTTTGTATGTGTATATGTGTCTGTGTTTATGTGTGTTTGTGTATGTATGTGTGTGTATATATTTGTGTATATATATTGTATGTAGTGGAAATGATACATTTGGCGTTTATTTTTGTGATGTGTTTGATATATCTCATAAGTAATGATGAGGTCCTGAAGAAGCACTTCCCAGAGGCACAGCTGAATGAGAGGCTTTAACAAGAAGATTAAAAAGCAGGATGGAGTTGATAACCCAAGCTTGGGTAGCCACGACCTAGCCAGGTCGTGCTAATCTCAACCACTGATGTGTGTATGACTCACAGAATGCCCTTGGGACACAGTGGGCAATGATGTGACTGCAACAAGTGGCCTTCTCCCCTCTATGTGGTCTATGACGATACCACATTAGACCCTTAACTTTGGATTACACCTTTCTCTGCTTGGAATACTTTCATCTTCCATCCTGTGCAGCACCCTTAAACTCCTCTCCAACACCTTGTAACTCCACTGAGCCTATAACCTGCTGCAGTAAGCCTGAGCTGGGTATGCTGTCTCTTTCTTGTGAATAGAGAAGCAGTGAACATGGATGAGCAAGGGTCTCTGTGGTAGGATGAAGTGTCCTTTGGGTATATGCCTAAGAGGGGTGTGATTGCTATTCTTGGTTGTCAGTTTGACTACACCTGGAACTAACTGTAATCCAGGAATGTCTGGGCACACCTTCAAGGGATGTTTTTTGCTTGGTTTGAAATGGGTAGATTCACTTCTGGTCTGGACTTTTGAGGTAGTAAGATACACCTTTGATCTGAATCCTGAGACAGGAAGATACACTTTTTAAAACTTTATTATTTATTCTTTGTGTCTTTCATATTAAGCATTCCTATCCTGTTCCTTCATATCAACCCTCTGCCCTTGCAAACCCCCCTCCCAAATAGAATAAAATAAAATTTAAGAGAAATAAAAAAGAAAAAATCAATCAACCTCGTCATGGAAGCTGCCGTGTGATACAGTGAACCATTCAGTAAACCCTTTTGTCCATGCATCTTTACTTGCCAGTGTTCATTGCAGAGTCATTGGTCTTGTTTGAGGCCTCTGCTCTCTGCTACACTGTTGATGTTGGGCCCTCACTGGGCCTCCTCTTGGAGATCATGTTGCTGTCCTGTGTCATGGAGATCCTGCAGCTTTGGGTCTGTAGGACCAGCCTCTTCACATGCTCCAGCAAATCACAGATGGGGTGGATGTTGGGGTGCACCAACTCTTGGTTCTGGACCTGGGTTGTTGCAGGGTTGGTCAGCCCACCAGCTCTCCTGTGTCCACAACACCAGACTGAGTTCTCCAGCCTTGCCCTCGATAGTTTACCCCTTGCAGTGATGAGCAGGGACAGTGCCTGTTCTCCTGCTTTCAAGTTCACAGGGGTCAGCACTCCCATAACTACACCATCAAGGCCATCACTCCGGTGTTACCCAGCCAAAGTGCAGTTCTGCAACTGGTGAGGAGCAGGGACAGCTCTCCCACCTGCCAGGTGGCAAGGGGTGGGGGGGCATCTCTCCCCCACTCACACCACCATATGACAGATGAGGGGTGGGGGCAGATAACCCATGCTCCCAGCACCCTGGTCAGTAGGGTCAGCTCTACTGTGCAGTCCAGGCAAGGTGCAGGGCCCACTTTCCCAAATGTTACAGCCAGTAAAGGGAAGGGCCAACTCCCTCACCAGCTGGATGCAGTAGGGGTAAGGGGGGAAGGCATCTTTCCCTTACCCCCATTCTACACCACAGACGAATGTAGGGGATCTGGTCTACACCTTCCTCTGGTGTGGCATGGAAGAAGGAAGCTTTTGCTCTTTGTCTGCTTGTCCTGCCTTGCTAGCAAGTCCATTCCTTCATTGACATTATAGCCTACTTCTTCAGGATTCCAGCCTCTACTGAAGACCAACTGACCACATAGACAAGCCATTCTGATTGGTATGAGTTGAAATCTCAAAGTAGTTTTGATTTGCATTTCCCTGGTGACTAAAGATGTTGACCGTTTCTTTAATGCTTCTCAGTCATTTGAGTTTCTCTTTCATGAATTCTCTATTTAGATCTGTAATTCATTTTTAATTGAGTTATTTGTTTTCATAATGTCCATATTTTTGAGTTCTTTATGTCATGTGGATATTAGCCCTCTATAGGATGTGTAGTTGATAAAATATTTTTTTAATTCTGTAAACTGGATAAAAATCTTTTGAAATTCTGTAGGCTGTTGCTTTGTCCAAATGATGATGTCCTTTGCTTTACAGAAGCTTTTCAGTTTCATGAGGTCCCATTATGAATTGCTGCTCTTAGTGCCTGTATTAATGGCATTCTGTGAGTCTTTTCCTGTGCCAATGAGTTCAAGGCTGTTTCTCACTTCCTCTTCTATCAGGTTCAGTGTTATCTGGTTTTATGTTGAGTTCTTTTATTCATTTGGACTTGAGTTTTGTGCAGAGTGATAAGTATGAATCTATTTGGATTCTTCTACACACAGCCGTCCAACTTGACCAGCCCCATTTGTTAAAGATGTTAACTTTTTCCAGTGTGTATTTCTGAGTTTTCAATCAAAACTTGGATATCTGTAAGTGTGTAGGGCTTATTGGTCTTCATTTCTATTCCATTGACCATTGAGTCTGTTTTTGTGTCAACACCATGCTGTTTTTATTACTATAGCTCAGTAGTACAATTTGAGCTCAGGGATGGTGATACCTCCAGCAGTTCTCCTATCATTCTGTATTGTTTTAGCCATCCTAGGGTTTTATGTGGAAAGCTAGTTCTTAGCTTGACATTTTTCAGACTACTCAGAGCTTCTCCAAGCTCCTCCATCCTGTAGGGCTCAGAATCTTCTGTATTTAGATGGCAATTTGCAAAGATAACAAAAACAAAGAAGTAAAACAGCAACAAAACAAAAACATTAGAAGAAATACTGAATTTTAAGTCCTTAATTAATTTGTGCCATACACTATATGAGTTTGTGTTTTATTGTAGAGGGTAATGTCCGTTTGGGCAGGAACTTAGAGCAAAGTTACTATGCTGTGACAAGACAGGTACAAATGAGGTTTGGTTGACAGTTAAGTTTCACAGAGAACAAGACCTAAAGTTTTACCTGGCTTGGCCAGTACCCTCTAATGGATGGATGCTGATCTCAGAATCCTTGTGGGTTCTACTTCCATTTAGTCTTTGGTTTTGGAGAGATCTGAATTTCTTGCAAGTTTATTAAGGTAATGAAAACGATACTTTATCTTACTTTTTATTTTTCTGAGGCAGGTCTCTACACAGCCCTGGCTGTCCTTGAGCTTAGATATGTAAACCAGGCTGGCCTTGAGTTTAGAGATCCCTCTGCCTCAACAGTGCTGGAATTAAAGGTGTGCTACCACAGCCAGCTTAAGATATTTTGTTTTATCTTATCAAACTTTTTCAGTATAAGAGTCCACTAGGGAATAATCTAGAAATTTAAAAATCCATGCTTTAAAAGTATATCTTTTAATATGTATTATACTTAGCAAGTGTCATCTTAGGTCATGTAAATTTGTGTTATTCTTTATTGTATTCAGTTAAGTACTTGATTATGTAAGTTTATACATTACTGAACTTTGTAATCATTTAAAAGTTTCATGTAGTCACCAATTAGTATTGAAACAAAGTGTTTCAGTGTAGTGATTAATCATAACTATTCCATGTAGTTCCTAAATATATATTTAATTTTAGACTATAAATAAATGTATATTTAACAGAAAGTATTATAATCTTTATAGAAGATTCATTTATGGAAAATATTTTTATAAGATCTCTGTAGTTTTCAGTTTTTCAGTGAAGGAGGGCACAGTGAAAAGATTACCCAGTTGTGTGATAACGATATCTATTAATTTATATGGTATCAGAACTCATTGAACTATATGCATTACCATTGTTATTGTTTTTTTAGACAAAATTTTGTCTTGTAATACAGAGTGGTTTGGAACTTGCTGTGTAGCCTCAGACTGGTCTCAAACTTACAACCTTCCTGCTTTAGCCTCCTGAGTCCAGGATTACCTGCGTGCACTGCCATGCTCAGCCAACCTGTTTTGTTATTTGTCTATCTTAATTCCACAAGGTTTATCTTTAAAAATGGGGCATGGAATAGACAAAGAGAGTTAAATAAATGAATTGATAATTGAAGGACAATGTGGTAGATATAGTATCCTAAGAGCAGACAACATAACCTCGTATTATGTGGTTGTGGGTGTCAGGGAAAACAAACACCATAGCCAGTACTACCTGAATGCATTTTTAAGAGAAAAGTGGAAATCAACCCAGCCAAATGACTTTTTAAGAAGGGAATCAGATTGATCTCCATAGGAGAAGGAGTGTTAGAATATTCTAGAATCTTGAGCAACTATGGCAGAAGAAGTGTGGCAAGAGAGGAAGCTGAGAGTGACTATGTAATGAAAAGCCTTATGCTCCTCACTTAGAAGTTTGGAAGCTATCCTGTGGTCCCTGGGGAGTCAATGAAGGGCTTTAGACATGGTGGTAACTTGGTCTGGTTTTTTCAGAAGGTCTCTATTAGACCTGTGTGGAATGGCTCAGAATACTTCCAAGCCATCTC